ACAGAACCTGAAATGCCGGATTAATTTGTCTGCCTGACCTGTGGGCTCCAGGGATCTGTCTGTCTCTACCCCAATAGCAGGCATGACTGACTGAACACCCCCAAGCTTGGCTTTTTACATGAGTGCTGGGGGCACAAACACAGGTCCTAGTGCTTGTATGACAAGAACTTTACTGATGGAGCCGTCTCCACGGCCTGTGTTTTGTCTGTTTGTGTTTGATTTGGGCTTTTTGGTTTTTGTTTGTTTGTTTGTTTTTTGGTTTTTCAATACAGAATTTCTCTGTAGCTTTGGAGCCTGACCTCAAATTCTCTGGTCTGTCCCTGTCTCCTGCATGCACCACCATTGCCAGGCTTGGCTCGGTTTTTAAGGGTCATACCATGTAGTCCTGACTGGCCTATGTAACCCAGGGAGGCCTAGAACTCATAACATAACAATCCTCTTGCCTCAGTCTCTGAGGGCTGGGATTTGCAGATGTATGTCATAATATCTTGTTTTGTTCTATTACTTTACTTTTAATGATTATTTATTTTTATGTCTATGAGTGTTTGTCTGTCTGTCTGTCTGTCTGTCTGTATGTATGTATGTATGTGTGGGTAGTGCTGTATGTGTGTCTGGTGCCCCTGGAGATCAGGAAGGAGGTCAGATTCCCTGAAACTGGAGCTGCCATGTGGGTGCTGGGAACTGAACCTGGGTCTTCTGAAACAGCAGCAGGTGCTCTTAACTGCTGAGCCATTGCTCCGACTCCAAGTCTTCATTACTTTTGAGATAGGGTCTCCCGGTATGCTAGTCTGAACTCCTTACATAGCTCAGACTTGTCCTCTTGTCCCCCAAGTGAGTGCTGGGATCGCAGCTGTGCACCACCATGCCAGGCTCTACGTGTCTGTTTAGGCTGGGCATGCTGCTTTCTAGAGTGGTACCACAGCCACTCCTCTGGGTGAGTGGGGCTCCTGGACCAATGGTAGCTTCCAGCAGCTCTTCCATAGTTAGAGGTGACCTTGATGGAGACGGAGAAGACCGCTGAGAACACAGCAGGAGACTACAACCCAGCTCTTGTTGGAGTGGCAGCTTTATTTTTTCTTTTTCTTTTCTTTCTTTCTTTCTTTCTTTCTTTCTTTCTTTCTTTCTTCCTTCCTTCCTTCCTTCCTTCCTTCCTTTCTTTCTTTCTTCCTCTTTCTTTCCTATTCTTTTCTTTTTGCTTTGTTTTTTGAGACAGGGTTTCTCTAGCTTTGGAGCATATCCTGGAACTAGCTCTTGAAGACCAGGCTGGCCTCAAACTCACAGAGATCTGCCTGCCTCTGCCTCCCGAGTGCTGGGATTAAAGGTGTGCGCCACCAGCACCTGCCTCTCTTTTGGTCTATCTTCTCTCTCTCTCTCTCTCTCTCTCTCTCTCTCTGTCTCTCTCTCTCCTCTTTCTTTCCTTCCTTTCTTCTTCTTCTTCTTTTTCTTTTCTTTTTTGGTATCTGGAATTGAAACCAGAGCCTTGCACATGATTTAAGAGTGCTCTACCACCAGCTGCCTCCCTAGCCCAGAAACTAGTTTCCAGTAATGATTTTTATTATTATTTTATCATCATCATCATCATCATTTTTGTTGTTCTGGGAAATCTGGAAATCTGGTAAAGAATTAGACTTCTTTTTCTTCTTCTTCTTCTTCTTCTTCTTCTTTTTAAATTTATTTATTTAGTATACAATATTCTTTCTGTATGTATGCCCACAGGCCAGAAGAGGGCACCAGACCCCATTACAGATGGTTGTGAGCCACCATGTGGTTGCTGGGAATTGAACTCAGGACCTTTGGAAGAGCAGGCAATGCTCTTAACCTCTGAGCCATCTCTCCAGCCCCCATTCTTTTTCTTCTTAAATTAAAATTACTTTACAATTCCTTTTCATTGGGGGTAATCACAGCCCAGCCTGCAGATGGAGTCAGAGATGACTTGCAGGAGTTAGTTCTCTTTCTACCATGTGGCTACTGGGGAATGAACTCGGATTGTCAGGCTTGGCTCTCGGAGCAATCCTGCAGGCCCCTTCTTTGTCTTTTTTTTGGGGGGGTGGTAGTATTTGAAATATGGTCTCACACTATAGTTCAGACATGCCTGGAGACTCACTAAGTAGCCCAGGCTGGCTTCTAACTCATGACAACCTTCCTGCCTTATTTAGGGGTGGGCCACTGCACCTACTTTTGTACTTCCTTATTTTCTATACCACACTCTCTTATCTGCCCCTCTACTCCCCTCCTTCCTCATCCTTTCCCAACCTCCCTCCCTCTGCTCCCCTCTCTGAGTCAATGTATTACATACTGAGTGTAGGCTCAGAACATGCTGAAGAAGATAGAGGGCCTGGAGAACCTCAGCAACCTGACCACTTTGCATCTCCGAGACAACCAGATTGAAACTCTGGATGGCTTCTCCAATGAGATGAAATCACTGCAGTACCTGAACTTGAGGTACGGGGAGTAGCCTCTCTAACACCCACCTTGCACCCAAGCCATCATCACCTATAGCAGCTTCTGAATCAGTGGCCCTCCCAGTAACCCACAGCTGGGTCCTTCCCTTGTTTTCCTTCTGGGTCCTGTCCTCTGCTTTCTTTCCTTCCTTCCTTCCTTCCTTTCTTTATTTTATTTTTACTATTTTTAATTTACTTACTTTATTTTATGTGCATTGGTATTTTGCCATAGGTATTGGGTCCCCCGGAACCGAAGTTACAGACAATTGTGAGCTGCCATGTGGGTGCTGGGAATTGAACCCAGATCCTCTGGAAGACCAGTCAGTGTTCTTAACCACTGAGCCATCTCCCTAGTCCCTCTGCTTTCTTTCTTTCTTCTGCATTTGGTTCAAAGAGCAACACAAAGATCTTCTTGAGCCCTAAACATCTAAAAGAATCTGTTTTTTCTTTCTTCTTCTTCTCTCTCTCTCTTCTTTCTATTTATGGTTTTGGTTTTTCGAGACAGGGTTTCTCTGGCCTTCAACTCAGAGATCCTCTTGCCTCTGCCTCTCGAGGGTTCGGATTAAAGGCATTCACTACCATATCTGGATTTTTTTCTCATTTTCAAACATGGGGGTCTTGCTACATTAACCAGGCTGGTCCCAACATCTTGAACTCCTGCTTAGTTAAGTTATAGGAATTCACCACAATGTTGCTAATCCCTGTTTTTGAGCAGTTCAATCTGACTCCAATGCCACTTTCCTGTCTGGATCCTATATAAATGCCCTTCTCTCTCTCCTAGGCCTCATTACCTTTCCATTTCTGGTTTCTTTGCTCCTGAGCTGAGCATCACCTGTAGAGGACAGCCCTTCACTGATACTAAGCATGAAATGTAACCTGGCCGTGGTGGCCCACGCCTTTAATCCCAGCAGTGGAGAAGTAGAGGCACACTTGGCAGATCAGTCCTCAACAGTCATTGCTTTTAGGGCCCAGCTGGCGGTGTTCTTACAGAGGAAGCCCAATTTCTGGCTAGCAATCAAAGCTCATGCTCCTAAGGTAAGCCCTCGTGACCTCATCCACAGGAGCAATATGATTGCTGACCTGGGGGAGCTGGCCAAACTGCGGGACCTGCCCAAGTTGCGAGCCTTGGTGATGCTGGACAACCCGTGTGCAGATGAGACTGACTACCGCCAGGAGGCCCTGGTGCAGATGGCAAACCTAGAGCGCCTAGACAAAGAGTTCTTTGAGGATGAGGACCGGGCTGAGGCAGAGGAGATCCGTCAGAGGCTGAAGGAGGAACAGGAACAGGACCTGGATGCAGACCATGACATGGAACCATACCGGCCACCATCTTAGCGGCTCTTCCTAAACCAATAGTAAGGGAGATGCTGCCGGAAAGGCAACTGCAGAAGGTCAAAGGTTGTGCACACAGAGGAGGCCAGGAGAACCCTTAGCAGAGAGCAGACTTAGGGGCTAGAGGTATCTTAGGTATGAAGAAAAGATGAGAGGCCCGGGAAGAGCTGATAAAGGACACGGAGGACCAGAAAAGTGAGTGGTAGGCAGAGGAACTGATAGGCAATCATATCCTGCAAAGAGGTGGCTACAAAGGGGTAGATCTGGGAGCATGGAGGAGCTCGTGGGGAAAGGAGGTGGCTGGTGGTACGTGGAGGCTGCAGCTGGGCCAGGGAAAAGATCCTGCACTAAATCTGAATCTAAAAATAGCAGGACACAGGTGGGGAGGCAAAAGGAGGGCAGTGAAGCAGAGTCTGAGAAGCCCAGGGATGTGGGCATTTCTAGTGGGGCACAAGCTGCCCTTCTGTCCTCTTCTTCCAGGAGACCAATGAGGCTGGCCTCAAGAATTGATAAGACTCCAGTGCAGGACCACAACATTCATGACCCTGTGATAGGAAGTGGAAGATACTTGCTGTCTTTTGTCTCCGAGTTAAAAATCCATCATATCCCAAGGCCCAGGCTCTTCGGTGGTCATCTCTGTGTGACTTGCACTATGGGCCTAAACTCCCAAGCTCTGTCTGGAGCCTAGATCGGGGACAGCCCTCAAGCAGGTCTGGGATAACCAGGATGGAGTAGGGGTTGTCTGGAGAAAGGAGCTGAGGAGTGGGCTGTGGTGTGACAATTCAGGTTTCAAATAAAACGGTATTTTGATATTCTCGTGTCTGACCGAGTTCATGAGTCCGCGTGATGGGCTTCTCCACCAGCATGGGTCAGTACCTGCCGCAGTGCTGAAGTGAGGCGATGCCTGCTTCCCTCGACTTGGCTGGCCATGGGTTATGAGGGCAAGTGCGCTTGGGGGTGGCCATCCTGGTCCTGGATCACCCCTCCCCTCCCCCACCCGTTCCCCACCACCACCCGCGCTCGTACGTGCGTCTCCGCCTGCATCTCTTGACTCATCGGGGGCTCCGGGTCACATGCGCCAGCCCGGCTCTGTAGGCGCCGCCCCCTGCCCGCCCCCCGCCCGCGCTGGGAGCCGCAGCCGCCGCCACTCCAGCTCTCTCTGCTCCGCCACCGTCACCACCGCCACCGCCACCGGCTGAGTCTGCAGTCCTCGAGGTGAGGCCCGCATCGGGCCGCATCCCCCTTACTCGCTCCTTGCCGCGTTCACTCCCCTCTGTCCTGGGCTTGGCGCGCCCGGCGGGTGACGCTGCAGACCTGCTTGTCACCTGCTTTCCCCAGCATCCTCCATCCCGGGCCTTTCCGGACAGCTCGCGGCTTTCTGGCTCTTACCTCCTCCCGGTTTAGGTACCAGTTCTGCACCCGCTTCTCTAATTGCACGGTTCCACCCTCGCCTGCCCCTCTCCCCACGCCGGTCTTCGCCTAGGGTCCTGCTGATTTGTTTCTTAAGTTCGATGTCTCGGCCCGTGGCGCGTGTTTGCCTGGCACGTCCTTTTTGCTTTGCATTTGGGGAGATACCTTCTCTCACCCTTCCTTGGCTGCCTCAGACTTGCTCTAGACTCGTTTTTCTGTCCCTCCTTCTCTTCGCCTCTCTCCTTTGACATTTCCTTTTCTCCGATGCATGGGGGAGGGATGAGAGGAGTGGGGAATCTGTCTGGGGGTAGGGAAGACGATGGGTTCAGCCTGGACTACCTCACGATTCCCCACTGCAGCCCCTAGGGTCTGGAGGCCTGACCCCAGGATGCTGTCCCCAGCCAGACTCCTCTTGAAAAGAGGAGGAACTCATATTTGGGAGAGAGGTGACGACCCCGGAGAGTGTTTTATAGACCCTGTGTATGGGGGCTGTCAAGTTGGGGCTCCGCTTGCCCAGACAACCCCTCTTCTTCCCGTTCCAAGATCCAAGGAAAAAATACCAGCCTGGCAGCCATCCCGCCTGGGGAAGTCTAGGGGAACCCTACTGGTCGGTGAAGCTGCTGAGGGGTGAAGGAATAGCTGCCGTGCCCCTCCCCTCTTCACTGCCGGGGTTCTCCCAGCTTGTCATGAGATGTACCCCGCTCCTGCTGCAGCAAGCTCCCCTTCCTCACTGCATTGACCTTTCCCTATCTCCACGGGGGGAGGAAGAACCCCTTCCTTCCACAGAGGCCCACTGCAGTTTGCTCCTCCCCACCCCCCGCCACTGCAGTAACCTCTTTCCCAGCCCTCCCAGCCTCTGGCCCCTCCCACTGGCCTCAGGCTCCACCCTTCTAAGCCTGTTATCTTTCTCCCATCTCTTCCACCCAAGGAGATCCCAACCATCATCATGTCTATAGAGAAAATCTGGGCCCGAGAGATCTTGGACTCCCGTGGGAATCCCACCGTGGAGGTGGATCTCTATACTGCCAAAGGTGATGGGCGGGGCATGGGCTTTCCACAGCCCCTACTTCCCCTGTGCTGGGTCTGGCAGATTTCTGAGGTTTTCCTTCGTACTCAGGGACCAGGGGGTGCTAGGCCAGGTTCCTAAGGCTGAATTGTGGAGGCTGATCTTCCTCGACTTGTAGAGCCGGGCTAGATGGGTCTGTGTTCTAGTTCAGAGTGGGAGCGGCCCTGCCTCTGTCTGTGTGCCTGTGCCAGCGCAGGAGCACGCATGCTCTGCCTAGCATAGCGCTGTTTCTGCGGCCTCCCACATGTGCCTGTGAGGCCTCAGATGGGCGGGTGAGAAGGCCCTGCTTGTGCAGTTGGCACGGTGTGTGTAAGGAACAGTCTAGGGGGAAGTCTGGATGTAGCAGGTAGGAGCTTAGCCTGGAAGGTCCAAAGAGTTCTTGGCCCAGAGTGTCCTCCCTCTTTGCTCATCGTATGTCTTCTTCCAGGTCTTTTCCGGGCTGCAGTCCCCAGTGGGGCCTCCACTGGCATCTATGAGGCCCTGGAGCTAAGAGATGGGGACAAACAGCGTTATTTAGGCAAAGGTGATGATGGCCCGCTCCTAGCGTGCCCCAGTCCCCTAGATGACTTCCCCCTCCTCTCCTCCCCACCCCCTCCTGGACTGACCAGCCCTTCTTCCTCTTTCTAGGTGTCCTGAAGGCAGTGGATCACATCAACACCACCATTGCACCAGCCCTCATCAGCTCAGTGAGCCCCGCTCTTTCCTGGGGGTGGCTGCTAGACCAGAATCCTAGAAGAAATCTTGGGCCCAGGGAGGGACAAGGGGGGTGCAAAAAGAGCCCATGCTTTAGGAATTGTGGTTACAGAGGGAGGGGTAGGGAAAACGCCGCTTTCTGCCATGGCAGGAACTCAAGGTCCCTAAAGCTGGCAGAGCAGGCTGCTGTCACAGGGATATGGTGGGACCCTGCTCACTCAGAAGACTGTGTGTGAAGGAGGGGACCCTCTGTCTGAGGGCCCAGCTTCCATCTTGGCTCTGGATAATGAGGACTCTGCCCACAGGGTCTCTCCGTGGTGGAGCAAGAGAAACTGGACAACCTGATGCTGGAGTTGGATGGGACTGAGAACAAATGTAAGCAGAGGTTGGGCTGGGAGGAGAAGGAAAGCACAGAGACCGGAAGGGGCTGTGCTGGGGGCACAGTGGGTGTCAGGGGACCTCCTCCTCCCTTGCCCAAAGCCACTGCAGAGGGAGGGAACGACGTTAGACAGAGAGACAGAAAGCTAGGAGTTGGCATGAGGTCATCCGGGGGATGTTTAGGAAGAGGTGAGGCTTTCCCTTTCTTGTCACCCCCTCCCCCAACCCCACTATTTGTCGTAGAAAACGAATAAGTTGCTGCTGGAGGTTGGGGGGTATGGTGGGATCTCATTAACTAGCTTTTCCTGGGAGTCTAGGAGGGGCAGGGGCTATAAGAGGGAGGGGCATTTTTTTGCTCAGTGTCTTCCTCTCTATTATGCCAGCCAAGTTTGGGGCCAATGCCATCCTGGGTGTGTCTCTGGCCGTGTGTAAGGCTGGGGCAGCCGAGAGGGACTTACCCCTCTATCGTCACATTGCTCAACTGGCTGGGAACTCAGACCTCATCCTGCCTGTGCCGGTGAGCCTAGTCTCTTCCAGAGGAGGAGTGCGTGCTGGTGAGGGATGAGGGGAAGAAGGGGAAGGGGCAGCTAGAGAGAAAGGGTGGGGATGTGAAACCTGAGCCTGGCATGTGGGGGACCTGGAGATCCTATCCCAGGGGCAGGAGGGGAAGGCTCTCTGACTCCTCTGTGACTCTTTGACTCCCTGACCATCTGTGGCTCCCCAGGCCTTTAATGTGATCAATGGCGGCTCTCATGCTGGGAACAAGTTGGCCATGCAGGAGTTCATGATCCTCCCAGTGGGTGCTGAGAGCTTCCGGGATGCCATGCGTCTTGGGGCAGAGGTGTACCACACACTCAAGGGGGTCATCAAGGACAAGTATGGCAAGGACGCCACTAATGTAGGAGACGAAGGTGGCTTTGCCCCCAATATCCTGGAGAACAGCGAAGGTGAGGCCTGGAGCCCTTACTCTGAGTCTCACACTGGGAAAGGTGGCACACGTGGGTCCTGAGGGTACTGGTGGCAGGTCCTTGAACTTCTGAAAATCTCAAGAGGTACCAGACCTTAGGGTGGGCTCCAGGGGGCCTTCTGATGTCACACATAGACCTCGGATATCAGTCTTTTACCTGACCAGCCTAAACTGTGAGACTATTGGGACGTGATCTGGGTAAGGTTCATTTCATCCTATACTGCAACAGACTTAGAGGACATATACCGTGCTCTAGGGAGGTAATTCCACGTCAAACCCGTCCCCTTCCCAGACTCTCGGGAGGTATTCAAGTCCATGTTCTGTGCTACAGAGGGGACTGTAAAGATCATGGTTACAAGTGAAGGTACTGGGGAGGGGTATGGCTCAGGGGTAGAGCGCCTGCTCAGGCTGAGGCCACCACACCACACACAAATGTCCACACATGCAAATGCATGCAGATCGGTATACAATGTACACAGACTCTGCTCTGGAATCAGATTCCTTGCCTTCATTTGAACATTGAAGAGTTATTGGCTGAAATCCCCAACACTTGGGAGGCTGAGGCCTAAGGGTTGCTATGAACTTGAAGCTAGCCTGGGCTACATAAAACCATGTCCAAAAAGAAAGAAAAGAGAATAATGATGATGATGATGATAATAAAAAGATGCAGAAGTGGTCTTTTAAGAACCAAGCATTGGCCGGGCGGTGGTGGCACATGCCTTTAATCCCAGGACTCGGGAGGAAGAGGCAGGTGGATCTCTGTGAGTTCGAGGCCAGCCTGGTCTACAAGAGCTAGCTCTAGGACAGGCTCCAAAGCTATAGAGAAACCTTGTCTCAAAACAAACAAACAAACAAACAAAAAGAACCAAACATTTACCAGGTGACGGTGGCACATGCCTTTAATCCCAGCACTTGGGAGGCAGAGGCAGGAGGATCTCTGTGAGTTCTAGGACAGCCAGGACTGTTTCACAAAAGAAAAAAAAATTCCAATTATTTGCCGGGGGTGAGGTGGAGAGGGTGTGAGATTGGTACATGACTTTAATTCCAGCACTTGGGAGGCAGAAGCAGGCAGATCTCTGAGTTCTTGACCAGTCTGGTCTATAGAGCAAGGTCCAGATCAATCAGGGCTACACAGAGAAACTCTGCCTTGAAAAACCAGAAAATGGAAAAAAACAAAACAAAACAAACAAGCAAACATTTGATCAGGGCATGGAGGTGCACACCCTTAATTTCAGGTAGAGGCAGGTACATCTCTGAGTTTAAGGCCAGCCTGGTTTGCCCAGAGAATTCCAGGCTAGCTAGGGTTACATGGTGAGAGCCAGTCTCAAAACAAAAAAGTAAAAATCCAAGTTCTACAAATATCATTGAGGACTAAATGAGATAATATATGTAAAAGGCTACTATGATGTGGCACCAAACAAAGCTGCTATTAGGAGCTGGAGAGGTGGCTCAGTGGTTTAAGGATACTTGCTGCTGAGGACTCAGGTTTGGTTCTCAGCACTCACGTAATTCCAAGGGATCTAACACTCTCTTCTGGCATCTGTGGGCACCAACATGGGCATGGAGCAGATACATGCATGCAAGCAAAATACACACACACACACACTCTGCTAGCCAGGCTGGTAGTGCAGACCTAGCATCTCAACTACTTAGAAGCTGAGGAAGGAGAATTGGAAGTTCAAGGTATACCTAAGCTACAGACTGGGTTCAAGGCCAGCCTGGGCAACTTAGTGTGACACTTTCTCAAAATGAAAAAGAAAAGGAGGTAGGAATGTGGCTCAGGGGTAGACAACTTGCCTCAAATGAATGAGGCCTTGGGTTCAAGATGCAGCATCAGGAAGAGGTGTGGGTGAAGGGTGTGGAGAGGGGGACCAGCACTACTAGTAACAGATTAATACTCTTCTATTTCCCTGGCTAGCCTCTCTCTAGCCACACCTCCCCTTCCACTCTTCATTCCTTTCTCCTCCCTCTTTCCTTCCGACCCATTTCTCCTGCCCGTAACTTCACTGTGCTTGTCTCTAGCCTTGGAGCTGGTGAAGGAAGCCATTGACAAGGCCGGCTACACGGAAAAGATCGTGATTGGCATGGACGTCGCTGCCTCTGAGTTTTACCGTGATGGCAAATATGACTTGGATTTCAAATCTCCCGCTGATCCTTCCCGATACATCAGTGGGGACCAGCTGGGGGCACTCTACCAGGACTTTGTTCGGAACTATCCTGGTGAGAGCGAGGGATGTGGGGGATAGGAAGGGGGGAGAGGCAGAAAGAGGTAGGGACCCTGTAGGGCAACTGTGAACCTTACAAGGTACATTCTGGTGCCAGGTAATGTCCTAAGGAACCCGAGAAGCAGGGAGAAGGGAAGGAGGTTTGAGTGTCCTGTAGCTGTAACGGGTCTCCTCCATCTGGTTCAGAACCTGGGCTCTCAGAGCTACTAAGTCCTAGCGGGGGCTCCGGAAGGAGCAGGGATGGGGAGACATGGATGGATGTAAGAGGAAAGTGGCAGGCCTTAGCGTCTTTGATGAAGGTAGATACTGAAGTTGGCGTTGCTGCCTGAAAAGGCTTACTGGGTTACAGAGTCCCCAGATCTACCAAAGGCTTCTGCCCCACTCCAGGGAGGCTGCTGGCCTCCATCTTCCTGAGGGAGGGCAAGGTAAAATAGATACCAATTGAGGAGAGCGTTAGAGTGGGAATGAGGGTGGACTCCCTGGCAATACCAATAGAACTCAGAGAGGGTATGAGAAGGACAGCTCCCTGGGCCCCCGACAAGATGGGCGGGGGGGGACAAGGATGAGGAGGCTTTGTCAGGGGGCAAATCAAAGGAGGGTGTCCCTCCAGAGCTCAAGAAGCATTAATGGCCCCTCTCTGCTCTCTCGACAGTGGTCTCCATCGAAGACCCATTTGACCAGGATGATTGGGCAGCTTGGTCCAAGTTCACAGCCAACGTCGGCATCCAGATAGTGGGTGATGACCTGACAGTGACCAACCCAAAGCGCATCGAGCGGGCGGTGGAGGAAAAGGCCTGCAACTGCTTGCTGCTCAAGGTCAATCAGATCGGCTCGGTCACAGAAGCCATCCAAGCGTGAGTGGTTTGCGGCCTTCTCTGGCCTGGCCCTTGTTCCTTCTGGATCCCTCTTTCCAAAGCCTCCTAGTCCTAGCCCGGTTCTGCCCTGGAGTGTCGATGAAAGCTGGGTACCCTTTGCAATTCTCTCACTCCTCTTCTCTCTGCACTGCGCGACCCGCCCCCGCGGCCTTTCCGCTTAGTCATTTTCCTCCAGCTGTTTCTGGACACGGGGCAAGCCTGGGGCTGGGAGGGAATGCCTGCGCCTCGGGACAGCAGGTCAGTGCTGGTGTGCATTGCAGGTGCAAGCTGGCCCAGGAGAACGGCTGGGGGGTTATGGTGAGTCATCGCTCCGGAGAAACAGAGGACACGTTCATTGCTGACCTGGTGGTGGGACTGTGCACAGGCCAGGTGAGTGGAGCCAGTTTGCGGTAGTAGGAGAGATCTTCGTAGGGTTGGTGGGTGCTAGGCCCAGGTGGTCCTGCCGGAAGACTGACAGTCAGAGGAGTTTGAAGCTAGAAGTGTTGCCAGGCATTGGCATCACACACCTTTTGTCCCAGTACTTGGGAGGCAGGTGAATCTCTGTGAGTTCGAGGCCAGCCTGGTCTATATAATGAGTTCCAGGAGAGCCAGGGCTATACAGAGAGACCTTGTCTTAACAAACAAGAGAAAAAGGGGGTAGTTTTGAGCTGGTGAGATGGCTCAGCAGGTGAAGGTGCCTGGTGCCAAACCTGACTGACCTCGAGTGTGAATCCTGGGACCCACATGTTGGGAGGAGAGCACCTCCTACCAGCTGTCCTCTGACTTCCACGTGCACACCATGGCATGAGCGGACTCACAGACATGTACACAGACACAGAATCAATAAAGTATTGATTTTTACAATTAATTAATCCAACCGCAGAGGAGAAGTTTCAGGTCTGCTGGTTTAGCTCAGTTGCAGAGTACTTGCCTTGCATGTGCAAGGTCCTGGGTTCCAGCACTCAGGAAGCAGAGGCAGGAGGATCTCTATAAGTTCAAGACCAGCCTGGTCTACATAGCGAGCTGCAGGACAGTCAAGGCTACATAGTTAAACCCTGTCTCAAAACAAATAAACTAGCTGGGCAATGGTGGCATATATATATATCTTTAATCCCAGCCCTTGGGAGGCAGAGGCAGGTATTTCTCTGTGAGTTTGAGGCCAGCCTGGTCTACAGAGTGAGTTCCAGGACAGCCAGGGCTACACAGAGAAACCCTGTCTTAAACAAACAAATGACCTGGACTTGGTGGCACATGCCTATAGTCCCAACACGTGAGAAGTAGAGGCAGGAGAAGCAGGAATATAAGGCAAGCCTGGCACTCTATGAAACTGTCTCAAAGTAAAAAATGGCGGGAGGGGGAGTAGGGTCATCTAACCAGGGGAAGGGAATCTTTAAGCTGTATATCCTCTGGATGTTTCAGATCAAGACCGGTGCCCCATGCAGATCTGAACGTCTGGCGAAGTACAACCAGCTCATGAGGTGAGGAGGGTCCCTGAAAAACAAGAACCCCAGATCTGGGACTAAACGCCCCACTAGGCCATCATCCCATCTCTAGCATCCAGGACCTGGAGAGTAGCTGAGGCCAGGAAAAGACTTTCACTTAGTGGGGCTAGGGCGGGTCTGATTGACAGATCACTATGGCTATAAGCCAGGGAATGTTCACCCTGGGGCAGTCCTCAGAGAAGGAGCCTGGAGGGACCCAGAGAGGAAAGCAGCTTCCTCCCAGTCCCCTGACTGCCACTTTCTGGATCATCTCTCAGAATTGAAGAGGAGCTGGGGGATGAAGCTCGCTTTGCAGGACATAATTTCCGAAATCCCAGTGTGCTGTGAACCTTCGCCTGCCTCAAGACTGGAACCTCCATCTCACCCTCCTGGAGCCTCCTTGCTGTCCTCACCTGCCATGGTTCACCCTGATACTTTGCGCCCAGAGTCACCCAGAACACCTCAACTCACCTGCTCTGGCTGTTCTTGGCTTCCCCAGTCCCCTGCTGCTGCTGTTCCTCCTCTTCTCTGGGCCCCAGTTTTTGGGATTCCATCCTTCCCACTTGCCTGTCTATTCTCTCTTCTCTTAAAAAAAAAAAAAAACTGGAAATGAGAATGAAGATTAGAATGGGGTCCACAGAAGAGCCATCAGCGTCTGACAGGAGCTTCAGGATCGGTGTGCTGAGGTGTTTAGGATGGGACCGTGTGGCATGTGTGCCTCGCTGCCATTTTCATGTTGTGTATCAGCCATGAACTATGTATAGACTTGGTGTTTGGGGAGTGCTGGATGCGTGATCATGTTTGGCAAGGCCTTTGTGTGTGTGTGCGTGTGAGTTCACACTTATTTATTTATTTATTTATTTTATTTATTTATTGTTCAGCTTGTCAGCCAGCTAGCTCCCCATAACTATAGTCTGAAATTGACGTGACTTGACAGGAATTCGGCATCTGTATTTTCATGTGGTTGCATCCCAAGATGACCCAGGATGGGAGGTTTTGTTAGCATGGGAAGGTAACAGAAAAGGGCCTTAGCAATTGTTTCATTTGGTGTACTACCTGAAGCCTGGTACTTCACAGAATGCCACTGTGTGCCCTGGGGGCTTTCCCCCCACGGCTCTCTCCCCAGCCTTTTGTTCCCTAGTCTTTCCCCAGCTGCACAAGAGCACTGCCTCACTCCCCCACGCCATGTCCCACAGTTGCCACTGTCTCTGTGGCTCTGAAATGAGCACCACCATTAAAGTCTGAATCACAGTGCACCACCCCGTGTCCGGGGAGTTTTACTCTCTGTTCCATATGAGAGGAGGGAAGACAAAGGACTGGATATTGGTGAAATGCGACAGCAGAGCTGGGGAGGGCACAAAAAGAAGAAAGCCACTGAACATACGACCAAGTCTGTGGCATCTCTGACTAGGTGGGAATCCATGTTGATTTTTGCCTTGCTTGTTTGTTTGTTTGTTTTGAGACAGGGTTTCTGTGTAGCCATGACTGTCCTGGAACTTGCTTTGTAGGTCAGGCTAGCCTCAAACTCAGAGATCTGATTTTACCTCTTCTTCTCCTTCTTCTTCTTCTTCTCCTTCTCCTTCTCCTTCTTCTTCTTCTTCTTCTTCTTCTTCCTCTTCCTCTTCTTCTTCCTCATCCTCCTACTCCCTTTTTCCTTTCTCTCATGAACTAAGGATTCTTCACCTTTGGTCCAGGGGTCCCTCAAGGGTTAGTGTGTATCTGGGGTGAGGAGTAAGGTATTTCTGTTTCTCAAAGTCTTAGACCAGAGTCGGGATGAGTGATAGACTAGCAACTAAAGCATTCCTGTACGAGCCTCCTCAACAGCATTTTGGATGACTTTGAAGACAGGACTTCAAGGCAACCAATTTCTTTGGACTGCGGAATAAAGGAAGAAGGGGAGGGAAGAATGGTATCAGGTATGAAAGTGGGCCTGAGGAATCTGAGTTCTTCAGTAAACTGGACACAATGCCTGAAGGGCTCAACAGCCTCCCCTATGAGGAGGACATTAGTGTGTAGCTAGAGGCCCTCTAACCTTTCAGCTCCAGTGGGACTGTGGTGTTGAACCACTCAGCCTAGGGACCACCCTGGGGGTCAAACTCTTACAAGATGACTGCTTCGGGTGCCAGGGCTCACGCTTACAAGCAGGATCTGCCCATGGGTAGCTGTGGCCACTAGGGGGAGCCCAAGTCCTGCAGGACGTCATACTAGACTTCAAGGTGCGGTTGGGGTGGGAAGAATTTCAAGGTTGCACCCTCCGCCCGTCTCTCACTCAACCTCTAGGGTTAACACTTCTTTGGTGAATGGGCGGGAGCCACATCTCTTTTTGCTCTTCTTCCTGTATCCCTCAGCTATTTTCCGTTCAAAGAACTTCTTGCCTTCTCTCCTTCCCTGTACCTCTTAATTTCTATGTAACCATCTCATCTTTCCCCTCTCTCCTAGCACCCAGTCATGTCTCCCATGGGGCTCACTACACTTTTCTCTGAGATTGGTTTCTCAGAAGCTCCCAGACTGACCAGGGCTATTGTAGCTGCAGCCACCTTTCCTAACCCTGTCTTTTCTTTCCTCTATCCTGGCTAGGTGTCTCTCTGACAGCGCTCCCACCCCCTCCAGGTACTGGGTTGGATTGGGTTACAGCTAGCTCTGCTTGGGCCTCCAAGGCCCCTCTCTACTTTCCTTTTGTGCCGTTGCCTGGAGACCAGAGGATTGTGGGGGGCTGGGGCCAGAGAAGGAGCTGGGGTGAAGGATGGGGGTGGGGTATATGTGTGATGCTCCAGCAGCCAAGCTATGAGCCTGGCTTTGGGTACCAGAGGAACTAGAAGGGGTAGCGCTGGCTTCTTTTCTTCGTCTCATCCCCTGTCCTTATCTAGGCCTAAATTTTTTCTTTTAGGCTTAGATAAGTTACCATCCTGGCATTTGCCTTAGTAGTTAAACAAGGAGAAAAGCTCAGTCTAGAAAAGATTTGGAAAGGGCCTGGGCCAGGCCCAGTGGGAAACTAAAGGAAAGAGAGGAAATGCAATGGGGAGAGGGAAGAGGGAGGAGGAGTCTCGGAGCAAAATTAGTTGGTGGAGGGAAGGAGCAGAGGCTTTCCTGGCGGACCGAGGAAAAGAAGCCAGGGCCACAGGAGGCCAGGGAGCTGACCTGGTCTCTGGGAGGCCCTGGAAGGGGACAAGAAGATGGGCATGGGGGTAAAGTGAGTCCCTGCAGAGGCAGGGATTTCAGGGTGGTGCGATGGTGGGAGGATTCTCGCTCGGTTTCCCTAGTGCTTTGGAATCTGTTGAGAGCTTTGGGGTAAGTTCAAGAACTTGGCTGAATCTGGCTTAAGGAATGGTGACACAGGACTTAGTGAGCTGATACAAGGCCAGCCTTCCTCCTTCCTTCCCGAAGGTAGTCTGCCCGTCCAGTGCCTCCTACTCTACCCACTTGGTTTGCAGCTAGACTGACCCCACAAATGCCCTACCCCCACTCCAAATCTGGTGAACTACTAAGGGCTCCCAATCCAGACTCCGGCTCCAGCTCTTCCCACCTCCCAGCCCGCCTCCCTCCCTTTCTCTAGCCTTCCCAATTTCAGCTGCCAAAAATCGCCCTGTCTCTAGTGTCCTTTGTCCTGAGAGACGTTGCTGCTTGGTGCACGGCCAGACTGGGAGTCCAGAAGAAGGCCCCGGTGGACTGACAGGGGATGCTGACTTCATGGCTGTAGACTGGACACACTGACAGCACTCGATCACGCTGTGGTCTGTGCTGGGGACTACCTCCATATTCCAACGATTGTTAGAGGGAACTCAGGGCACCTAAGGGTGTGTAGAGGTCCTTTCCACTTCGTTCCTTCTGGGACCATGACCGAAGAAGCCAGTAGTGACTTCAAACAGACTTGAGAAGGAAAACGGGCCCGAATATGAAGTGCCATTCCTCAGTTCCCTGTACATGCCAGGGCCTGCCGGCCCCATTCTGTCATTTCTTCGCGGCATTTTCCGTTTCCATCTTTAGCTCTTCTCTTTCCCATCACTGACCCTCCCTCCACGATGCCACAAAGACCCTATTTATCTTGTATTTCCTTCCAGTCCTCTCTAATTCATTCTCCAATTTATTTGCCAAAGGAAGCAGTTCTTAGTTCGGTTGAAAGTCCCACCCTCAGGTTTGATCAATCCACCCCAAACCCAGTCTCCCTCTAGAATAGGCATCTGGTCCCACCTTTTAAAATCTCTTCTGGGACCTCTCCTGCCTGTGCTCCCACAGAGGTATCTGGACTCCCTCTAGCTTCACTTCATCACTCCCAAATTCTCGAGGTTTGCATTCTTTTCAACACCGATCCCCTTTAAACTCTTATCTCTTCCGAAACACCATTCTCGTAGCATGTCTTCTTCATCTTTTCATCTTTTTCCGCCTAGGTCTCCAAACTTCCATCGTATTCTCCCCAAACAACCCCTAAACACCTCCAGTCTAAGGCTCTGGCCCTTCCTCTCCATCTTTCCAATATAGTCCCATTATCCCAATCTCTACTTCAGGACCCCCCAAACTCCTCCCACTTCACCCCTGCCACAGCCCCTTGTCCCCAAACTTCTTCAGCCTCCCTAAGTCTGCCTTCACAGTCCACAGCCCCTCCCACCCAGCCCTCTCGCGCGCGGGGCCCGGGGAGCTCCCCACGCTCTGCACCGCGAGGCCCTCTCCCTCCGCGCCCCGGCCGGCTTCGGCCAAACTCGCCCGGCGCCTCCCCTTCCCCGATCCTCCGCCCCCCGACTGCCGCGCGCTCCCTCCCTCGCGTCTCCTCCGGGCCCCTCTCTCCTCCGTTCCTCCGCGCTCCCTCCTTCTCCCTCTTCCTCCCTGCTCCCATCCCCCTCTCCCGAGCGCCCTCCCTCCGCCGTCCGCTTTCCTGTGC